AAGTAATATAAGAATGATTCAATTAACATCATGCCAGTTAAAAACAAAATGTACCTATTACATCCATCCCAAGTGTTATGGCACAGTTAGTTACATTTTAGATCACTTGATAAATTAAAAGCAAAAGTGCTTAACATAATTTAGATAATTCTTTCACCTGTAAGTCATTTGAGTAAATCTGAACTTAAGCATTTAAGAAGATGGGAAGGTTAACTGGTACTATACGGCTAAAACAGAAATATGATTCTTAAAATGTACACGCTAATTTGCCCAAATAATTTTCTGCCAAGTATTCAAGAATTAAGCGATATATCTGGCTGACACCAGAAATTACCTAATGAGAGTAAACAGCTAATAACATCTCAGCCACTATGCAGGTGCATATGGTTCCAAGACTCTCTCTCAGACAGAGTCTCACTTTGCTGCCCGGGCAGGCTGGTGTGCAGTGGTACATTTCGGCTCACTGCCACCTCTATCTCCTGGGTTCAAGCAATTCTCCTGCCTCAACCTCCCAAGTATTTGGGATTACAGGCACCCACTATCATGCCCAGCTAATTTGTGTATTTTTAGTAGAGACAGTGTTTCACCATGTTGGCCAAGCTGGTCTTTAACTCCTAGTCTCAAGTGATCCACCTACCTCAGCTTCCAAAGTGCTGGGATTACAAGCATGAGCCAATGTATCCATTACAGGCTATTTTTACAATTCATTTTTCAACTGAAAAATTAAGACAGTATGTATTTATCATGTACAACATAAGACACTCTTAACAGCATCTGAATCTACCTCATTGTAACAAGACTCTTCCCTATTGAGTCCATCCTCTAAGCTAAGTTTCAACTTCCTTCTGTAGAATAGGAACCAAAACCAAAAAACCAAACCAAACCAACCATACATAAGCAGCACAACAAAACCCCTACCTTTTTAAAAGGATAAAGTATCTGGTCGCACACCAAGGCATATTAGCTGTATCTAATAGAGCCCTCACCAAACATTAGCTGAACTTGAATGTGTTAGTAGAATCAGATTTCTTGAAAACAAGTGAATTATGTCAATTCCTTGCTTTAAATAATTGTTGGCTCTCTGCATCATCTTTAATGTGAAGTATAATGGCTTACATACAACTACAATTTAATGAATGAGGAACACTAATAATGTGATCCCAGGTTAAAGTTTACTGTAGAATGATATATGAAAAAAGCACTTACATAGTTATGTAACAGAATAAAAATGCTCACAAGGTGTATTTTAGTGGGTTAAAATAATACTTACTCAAAAAGTTGCAGTCACTTACATAAAAACATTGTGTCACAAAAGTCTGACTGACTTTTAAAATAAAACTGGACAGACCCCCAACTCAGAAACATTTCAATGATCAGAAATAATCTCGTCATTTAAAAGCAATAATGTGACATTCAAAAATATACATAGCCTGTAATACCAGCACTTTGGGAAGCAGAAGTGAGAGGACTACTTGAGGCCACAAGTTCAAGGCTATATTGGGAAATAACAAAAGGCCCTGTTTCTACCAAAAAAATTTAAAAATCACAATTAAAAAAATATTTAAAATTAGCCAGGTGAGGTACTGCATGCCTGTAGTCCCAATTACTCAGGAAGCTGAGGTGGGAGGATCTCTTAAGCCTAGGAATTCAAGGCTGCAGTGGGCTATGATGGTGTTATTATGCTCCAGTCTGGGCAACACAGCAAGACTCTTGTCTTTAAAAAAAAATCTCCCCAATGAATGGTAATTGGTAATATTTTATTGTAGCATGCATTAAATAGAAATTTATTACACCCTTGGGAAGAAAGCAAACAGCAAATTAGAAGAAGTTTAAGCATCTACTCTTTTGCATGTGGTCACATCCACTTTAGAAAGTTAACCAAATTATATCCTATACATAAATTACCATACAATTTAAAAAGGTCTAATTATTTTACTGTAGATAAAACACACTTTTTTCAAATAGAGTCAAACTGACAGAGTAACAGTTCAATTTAAATAGGAAAAAACTGCTAATCACTTATTCTTCATCATGCAGTAGTTATTCATTTTCATATTGCTGCATGAACTTTAAACAATTTCTTCAAGAATAAAAAAGTAGCTGATTCATAAGTCAAATGATATCCCTATGAAACAAAGATTTTGTAAAAAACAGTTGGCTTTCTTTCAGAATAGCTATCTCGTAGCATAACAAATTTTATTCTTTTATTCATTCTGTATGAGCTAGGCACTGGTGACACAGCCTTAATAACATTATAAATATAAATAAACAAACATGAAGAGTCACATAACCATAAACAAAATACCGATGAGGTACTGATCTTGCTTAGAAAGGAAAAGAGCAGAGAAGGCATCATGAAAGTGGCGACCATTTGAACTGAGCCTGGTGGAATCAGTGGGATTAGTCAGATTGAAGTGGGCGAGGGCACACAGAAATGTGGTTGAAAATTTAGGCTTTGAATATACTTATGTATATAAAATGTGTTATAAAAATTTTGAAACAATGTATTTGCTCTACTCCTAGGTTTCCTTTTACTTCAATTCCAAAATAATGTATTTTTTAAAACTCTGAAAAGGCCCAAATAGTAATGCACTTATGTGATGCACACAGTACTCAAGGTTCAGTTTAGTCAACAAATCATTATCCTCAAGCACTGAGAAATTTCTCACTTACAGACAAGGCACGAGTGGGACAGAAATGAAACCCAGAATAGCAGGGTAAGTAAACCAATTCCTACAGCAGTGACATTGTGAGCAGAGTGGGAAATAACTGGAGACATGAGGCGGGGGGAAAATCCAATGGCCACTGCAGGATGCTGTGACGGCAATATTCCACTCTGGAGATACATTTCCTTCAGCAGAGTACAACACATGGCATGCTAGCAATAGGCTAGTTAACTGGCAGGTTTTGATCATCAAATTGAAGATGGAATCTCTACAATGCAAACATCAGGATATCCTCCTCACGTATTTAACTTGCTTTGCCAATTCATTCATTCATGCTGAAATAGTAAACATCCTATATATACAAGGTTTTGTGCTGTCTACCACGAGGAAACAAAAATGTAGTTTAACACTATAAGGGCCTTAAAACATACTATTCCATCGGAGTTTACTAGGCTAAATTTCAAACAAAGAAGAGTAGCACAATTATACTTTTGCAAGCAGGCTATATAGTCTTGGTGGAAAGCATTCCTCAATGCATACCTTATTCATTGGAAAACAGACAAGCGCTCTGTTCTACTGCTTTATTCTTGAGTAAAACTTTTTATGTTAATTTCAAGTTATTCCCACAGCTCTGTTCATTGCCCTCTTGTTTTACTGTTTTTTTCTTTTTCCCCGCATTGAATTTCCTGTTCATACAAAAGAAGTTGAAATAGTTTCTCCTCACTTGAACTTTAGTAGCAACCCATGGCCTATGATGTCATAATGCTCAAAAACATCTTTGTTTAAAATGTATACTGAATATTCCAATTCATCATAACCACAGTAACTTACTGATTAAGTTTAAAATTTATTTAAAATCTGTATTTAAACTTAAATCTTTCAGTGGATTCAAGATAAATTTTAAAAGGGAAATAGAAATATTCCTCTGTATACTTAAATTGGGTAGAATCTTAGTTGGAATCTGAAAAGTCTCCAACTTAAGGAAAAAAATTGTGGATCTTGAATTAAGATTGTCAAAGAAAACAGAGTAAACTTGAAACCCTACTTCTATATTTCTAAGCTTCTAAGTATACATATATAATATACTGGAAGTCATAATATGAAGTAGTTATTGTTAATTCCTAAAACTTGTTATTCTTTTCACATTCACATATAAATAGCTGATTTAGATGAGCTAACTGTATTATTTGCCAAAAATATGTATAGCAAGTCATTCTTCAACTGCTTTAGAAAACTGAAGTGAAAATATTTAACATATTTTGTAAGAATTTCCATATCATCTTTTCCTCAACTAGACTTGAAAACCAGAGTAGCAAACAAACAAAAAACTACAGTAGGACAATTATAAAAAGAAACTGTTCTTTTTTTATTCTTTAAGAAAAAACTTTCTTTGAAAATTCTTCTAAAAGACCTTGAAATCACAAGGTTGCTGCTGAACATGCTAGAAAACAATTATACCCGAAATGGCAAAATGTAAGACTTTATAGGCTTTAGTCTGTACAATATGAATAGAATGAAATTACAATATCATTCATCCATATGAAACGAGAAAAAGAATTTATAAGCAAAATAGCTATGTCTAAAAACAAAAGAAAAAACTTACCCAACATAACCTACTTCTTAAACTAATGCTTTTAAAATAACAAAATCAATTTACATAGTACAATTCAAAGAAATATGAATTGATATTAATAATAAATCTTTATAATATATAATCTCCTACCATTATATTGCTCTTAAATTTTAGGTCAATAAAGATTCCTACTTTGAATCGTATCACTGAAATGGCCCAAATAATTAAAAAATTAAAGAAATAGCAGGTTCAATCAGTAAGTTTAGACTAATATTAATACATCTTTAAAAAATTATATAATATATAATGTTAGTATCTCCATAGGAACATCTGAAGAATTATTCATTTAATTCTCTTTGGAGGTCTGGGGGCAAACCAAGCATCTTCTCTGAGTAAGTTAAAAATAAACAAGGAATAATAAGATTTTAAATAAAAATCTTTATATTTCAAAGCAATCTGTGACTACTAAGTATTCATGTAGCCTAAAATTAAGGAGAGACTAAGAGGAAGACATTTCCAATGCCAAATCTTAAAATGCTCAAGCATTTGAAAACCTAATGAATATATTTACATTTCTACAACAATACAATACTTCGTTTATAAAAATATTTACAGTATGTAAATCCTTTGCACTAAGCATTGTGCCTGGCACTAGGGCTACAAAGATTATTTGCTACAGGATCATTAACTGAGGAAAAGGACTACTGTTCACTTAGCCATTAGCTATTTATTAATACATAGAAGTAACAAGAATTACTCACCAGCCTTCATCAAAATCAATCCTGAAAAGGATATTCAACTACAGGCAAAAAGGACACTGGAGTAAAAATAAGATTCAACTTCTTTGTCTTTGAGCTGTTCTCAATGAGCACTGTGGGGATGAAGCACTGAGGAAACACACTGTGGTTGTGAGGCTGGCCTGCCACTCTGGAAGTCTGACACCAGACTGACGTCACACTCAAACATGTCATTGCAGCCGCAAATTAAGGCAGCTCCTCCAGAATCTGTTGTGATTATGCATGCCTTCCAGCCATAAGAGTAAAATATGATTTCAATTCCCTTAAAATTGGCATATAGCATAGGATAAAATACCACGATATATGGCTGCAAATAGTTTTAGAAGAAAACGTTTAATGAGTATTAAAAATAATCTTATCTCTAAATAAATGTATATTTCTTGTTTAAATTGTAAGCACACCAACTAAAATGACTCTAAAAACAGTTTTTCTTGTTCTTTCCAAGATCATACATATTTGTTTCAAAAAATTCAACCAATAAAAGGTATATAAAAGGCTAAAACTGCCTGGACTTTCACCACCAATGATGATGATGGTTGCTCAGTTTTATTGATCACTTACTATGTTAAGCATTTTACAAACTCATGTGAGCCTCATAACCCAACAAGATAGATTCTACAGCAGTGATCTCCATTTTACTGAAGTAACTAAGGCACAAAGCAGTTAAGTAATTTGCCCACCCATAATAATTAGCATTATTATGGCTAATAATGCTAATAAGTGATCAAACAGGATGCAAACCCAGGTAGAGTGCCTGTGCTGTCCAGACATTTGATTACTAAGGCATACTAACTAGCAGAAAAGATGAGTGGTTAACATTTTGGTGAACATTATTTCAAACCAGAGTTTATAACATAAACATATATTTATTCAACAGAAGGAAATAAAACATGTTGTTTTGCAACACGCTTGCTTTCACTCAATAATATGCTCTGGACAGGTTTCCATGTCAGCAATTACATTCCTAACTTTCCTTTTGTGATGACTGCTGAGACATCTTTGTGCTTTTCTGTGTTTAGCTATGTAGGATAATTCTCAGAAGTGAAATGGATAGGTCAAAGCATGAGCATGTTTTCAACATTTACACACACTATCCTCCAAAATGAAGTAACAACACATATTTGTACCTCAGCGCATTAAATTTCTCCTTTCCTCACATCTCACCTCATATTGAATACAGACAATTATTTTTCTTATTTGCAATAAAGCCACCACACTGTGCATATGTGTATGTTTCAATTTAAAGTAAGGTTTAACCTTTCTTCATATGCCTATTCACATAGAAGGCAGACCAGCTTAATGATCAAAAGCACATTAGCTATGAAGTCAGATGACACCAGTTCAAGCCCAGCTCCTTTTCTCAATAGTTTTCTGACCACAGGCAGGTTACTGAGCCTCCCGTGACTCCATTTCCTTACTCAGAAAATAAACATAATAATGTAATCCTCCTGAAATTTTTCTGCTAATTGTATGAGAAAAACCATGTCAAGCAATTAGAACAGTGCTTACTACATAATAAGTGTTTGTTTAAATGCTGACTGACATTTAATGGCCGACTGTATTTCTTCTACAGTTCATGCCCCTTACCCAAAATTGTGATTTTTTTAACAGTGTATAGGCAAACCATTCTACAAAACATATTGTACATACCTTGTTAGAATGCTAATGATATAAAATTTTTAGATACCTCAAACTGAGTTGTCTAAATCTAGCACGTAACATAACTGGTGCTAAAACAAATTCCTTTCCTATGAAACTGCTGTAACAAAAATTAAAAATAGCACCTCAAGTTGAGAAAACAAAATTGTTTCATCATGTAATTGGAAATATAGATAAGCAAGCCAACACAGTTTGCTGTAACCAGAAGGGTTTGCATATGTTTTAGAGTAGTGATTCATGAGCTTTCTCATTTTTTTCAGTGAAGGTTTTGCTAGTTTCAAATATGTTCAAGTTTAAACTCCTCACACAATAAAAGAAAACAAATCCATTCTCAGAAACATAAAGAAGTCAATGAAATAAATTTTCCACAGTTTTAAAATTGAAGGACAGTCTCATTTATGTTATATTTTAACATAAATCAGAGAAACGAAAAGATAATAAAAAACAGAAGCCATAACCTATAAACACTGTATGAAGATTAAAATATAATAAGCTCACTATCCTTACCCCCAAACCAATTTGATCTTCTATTTATTATATAATAAAGCCTTCACTGTTTTCTCTGAGACAGCTGTAACAAAACACTTCTAAAAACTTACTAAGAAGGAATTTTGTATTATTCTAGCAGAGCTGGTTTAGGCTTACTCACTGTTGTATATGCTATAAAATCACCCCGTTTGAAGGCAGACATTTTTGTAATAAAATTGCAGTACAATGTTTGCATAATCACACAGTGGCATGGTAGTTCTACATATGGCTGCCAGGAGAAAAACAATAAATCGAATCAGCAGGGATGTGTCAAGAGACTATGGAAGCTTATGAGGGATACTAAGAAGCATCAAGTCAACCAAGTGTTTGGTTTATAAAGTTACCAGCACCCTGCACACTTTCTGAAGAACCTGTGAGGGTCAAGCCCCTTTCACACAGCCACTGTGTACAGAAGGGCTGCCACAGGGAAAACACAGTTGTGAAAGGGGGAATAAGATGAGGTCCCTGCTCTCAAGGCCCTAACAGCCTGAAGTGACAGTTTAATAAGAGGGAAAAAGAGCTGTAAACAGATCATTATAATACAACTGCATTTGTAGAGCACAGAAGAGGAAATAGCTAAATGCCTGGGGGAATCTGGAAAAGGCTTAAACTGACAGCTGACCTGACTATTTCAAGAGGAGATTTCAGTTAGACGTAGCAGTAGTTATAAAAGCACAAATCTGAGATGTAATGTCAATGTTATATTTAAAAAGGATGCCGTGTTAAAAGAGAAACTATTCATTTAAGAAAAAAATACATTACAAATAGGGCAATTCTCACAAGTTCCTTGTAAAATTCTGCCTAGCTTTCCCCCATGTCACGGATGGCAAGTTTAGCTTTCTCAATTCTGCCCAAACCACATTTTAGGAAAAAAAGCTGAGGCAGACTGTGGATCAATGCTCCACTACTTCATCAGAGCTAATAAAAGTCTTTAAATCAAGGAGAATCCTAAATCTCCATTAATCTTAATCCTTTTTTCACGTTATCTCTATACTACAGGTCAGGAACAATGCTTCATTAAAAAGCTACAGAAAAAATCCAATGAGGGGCTCCAAAGTATTCTCCACCAAATAACATGTTTCAGCACATTCCTCAGCAACATTTGTGGTAATGACTAAAGATCTAACTGTGATATTTATAATTGCTCAGCCCTTATGTTACTTTACTTCTCAGTGCCATTTAAAACTTTAACCACTCTCTTCTGCAAAGTGTCCGCCTTGACCTTGACTTACGTAACCCAGTTTCCCAGCATTCACTCTGGCAAACAGGCTTATGTTCAAACAATTCAATCCAGCATTGAGTTGTTTTAAATCCCATAAATTGGTACCAATTTACTTATCACACATACTCAAAGTAGTTCTTTTAATGGGTAAGAAACAAATCTCTGGCTGGGCGCAGTAGCTCAGGCCTGTAATGCCAGCACTTTGGGAGGCTGAGGTGGGTGAATCACCTGAGGTTGGGAGTTTGAGGCCAGCCTGACCAACATGGAGAAACCCCATCTCTACTAAAAATACAAAATTGGCCAGGTGTGGTGGCACATGCCTAAAATCCCAGCTACTCAGGAGATCGAGGCAGGAGAATTGCTTGAACCCAGAAGGAAGAGGTTGCAGTAAGCCAAAACTGCACCATTGCACTCCAGCCTGGGCAACAAGAGCGAAACTCAGTCTCAAAAAAAAAAAAAAAAAAAGAAAAAAGAAACAAATCTCCTACCAATCTCTCTTCCATATAGTACCTAACAGTGCTGTATAACATGATGCATGCAAATGTTTCATCAGTTGACTACTGACTTTTTATTGTCTAGGTCATTTAATACGAATTGCTCAGATCAGAAAAATATAGTACAACGAGAAGAGCACAATTGCATATTAAATCCCAAGTTTAAACAGAGGCAAAAATAATAATGATAGCCTCCTTTCCCCCCTTTTCCCAAATTTCCAAATTCAATAATTCTGGTATATCACATACCATATGTTCCTGATTTTTAAAAAAGTAAAATGAGGCCAGGTGCGGTGGCTCACACCTGTAATCCCAAAACTTTGGGAGGCTGAGATGGGAGGATCACCTGAGGTCAGGAGTTCAAGACCAGCCTGGCCAACATGGTGAAACCCAACTTCCACAAAAAATACCAAAATTAGCTGGGCATGATGGTGGGTGCCTGTAATTCCAGCTACTCAAGAGGCTGAGGTGAGAGAATCACTCGAACCCGGGAGGTAGAGGTTGCAGCCAGCTGAGATTATGCCATTGCATTCCAGCCCTGGATGACAGAGTGAGACTCTGTCTCAAAAAAAAAAAAAAAAAGAAAGAAAGAAAGAAAAACCAAAGTAATTACATATTTCAAAATAATTTGAAAATATGATGTCTTTCTCTCTCTCATATCCTCATTATCTTCTGCTAAAAGTTGGTAATCAGGTAAGGAGTAAATCAGCTCACAGAAATGAAACCCTCACACCTAATGATTACCTGAGATAGGTTCCAAATATCCTATGAACTTATAGCACAGGTAACCACTACGTAACTGAAGTAGAGTATAAGAATAAATTTTATGACACCAAGAAAGACAATCGATGTGGGTATGGGGCCAAAAACTTCTAAACACAATGTCAGTCATCCTCATTTGATACTGACACAATAGTTCAGATATTTTTCATCTGCTACCCAAGAAATGTTCAAAGTTTGCTCCATGCTATCATCTTGGTTTTCTTTTAGAGTTGAAATTTCACTACACAGCAAACTCTTAGAAAAAGTAACTGGAAGAACTGAATGATTTAAGAATCAAATGAATCCATGAACACCTGCTTAGGAAGAGACCAATTATAACAAAAAAGCCCCTCACAAAATAAAATCTTCCTCCTCAGAGAGTGGCAACTTCTAAAATACATTTGCTTCTAATGGCATTCAGAACCATTTAATTTGAGAATATTAAGTTCTCAAGTTATCAATGACAAGTTGGCCCTCTGAGGCCAGTTTAATAAGAGATTGAGACATTTTCTCTTCCCCTTATTTATTCCAAATCCTTTCTAAATTCTTTCCACTTCTTGTATGAGATCAGTAGCCACAAGTTCCTTCTTCTGAACCGCCATAACTTACATAACTCACTAATTTACATTATTCAGGTCCAGCTCAAATGTTACTTTCTCAGAGAGATCTTCCCAGTCTCCCTCACTCAGGTAGTTCCAGTACTATATATTAGGAACAATCAGCACAACCAACAAAATTTAGAGTCATGGGTACTTCCATCTCAAAGAATCTGTCAATATAAACTATTTTGCACGATAGGTGGAGACTGGACTAACATCTAATGAGTTCATTCATACAGCCAAATACAAAACAAAATGAGAAATACAATGTACAAAGCAGCAATGATTGAGCAATAAAACTAATCCTATCTCTTTCCTGTGTCCTTGTTATTACATGGCATCTCAGCTTCTGAGCTCTAGGAGAAATGTGTGGTTATATTTTTATCTCCTTTGGCATATTTAAACTCTATAACTATCTTTGGGTGCTTGAAGGCAATTTCTCTCAATGGAAAAAAACAGACTGAGTGCTGACTCTTTTAATGGACTCTGGCATCTTTAACTACATGTTCAAGTTAATCACTACAGTTCTACAAAAATTTCCAGTCAAAGAGTATATATGCAACAAACGCATTATAAAAACTTAAATTTACTGATTTTATAATGGTAATAAAAAATTTGGTTTGTAAAATTTGTGCTTTATGAAAGAATCTTCAAATTCTAGCACCATAAATTCTGATTCAAGAACACATTGATGAATATGAAATCATAAATACGATGAATATGAAATTAACAACTCAAGCTATATGAGTAAAAAAATATATATATGTATGTACGTATATATGTACATATAAATTCAGTTCTAGTTTCCTTATGAAGGTCCTAAGTATAACCTTTTGGATCAATATACACTTTTTAAAATTGACAAATATTGCATATATTTATGTGAATGTACACTTGTGAATGGTAGTTTGTGACTTACATGCTAACTGTATATAAAATAATTTTCATTCTAACTCATTTTCTACAGAGACTGATTTACCAACAAAACATCTATTATTCAAGTTCTGACAGTCAATTCTACGCTTGTACCATCTGCTTGGAAGATACATCATATGTTTTTGATGCAGGAATAGAATTAAACATATGATAGTGTACCAGTTTCATTATCATCAAAAAAAATAGGCCTCAAAGAAACTCTTACAATGGTTGCTTTGTGTGTTAGCTTGATTTACTTATTAAGAAACTCCTGTTTACTCTTGCAGGGAAGTGGGAAAATACCCATGTTTTAAAAAAGTTTTACTACCACAGTACAGGACAGACTGTGTTATGGAGTCTCATGTTTAAGACACAGCCTTAGGACCTAAAAGACACTTTTATCTCTACCACTGACTCAATGAAAGGTCCTGGAAAAGTAACTCACAGAGTTGTCTTTTACTCACCATGACATTGCATAACAAATACAGTTATGTGGTCTCATGTCAACAACTCCAACCAAGACCATTTGCCGGTCAACATCAAATTTTACTGGGGTATGGTTATTTTCCCTTAAAACCAAGCAAAAAATAAACATTTCTCTGCTATGAGTGACTTAAAAAACAAAAACAAGTTTCAACTTGCCACACTTCTACGTTTGTATTTCTGACATTGGAGGGCAGATTTCTTTTGTCTGTTTTTACACTTTATTTGTATAAATTCCTTTGTCAACAAGTTTTTTCTTTTCCTTTAAATGAAACCACTTATCCTTATTTTGCAAGTTTATTGGAAATGTTACATATATTGCCATCTAGTGTTAAAAAAAATAGGTGTGGGTAGGTAAATGGGATAGATAAGTATAGAAGGAAAATATAAGTGAGAATATCAGATACGCTACTACATAAATGGACTTTGGAGCCAGGCTGCCTAGATCAGAATTCTGGATCAGGTCTTAGGAAAACTATTGTACTTCTCTGTGCCTCAGTTCTTCCTTCATCTCTCAAATGGGTTTGACAACATCTTCCTCATATAATTGTAATGATGAAATGAATGAAAACATTAAAAGCCTTACAATATTGTGACTGACATATAATTAGAGCTCATCATACAATAGCTGTTGTGCTAAAACACATGTAGATCAGAAAAAAACTGAGAAAAATGTAAATAGGCTTTGAGCTTGAATCCTATAAAGGACAGGCAGGAGCTGGAGAGTAGAAAATAGGAAGTCATGATGCAAAAATATTGGTGTAAAAATGAAATGGTTAGTTTGGCTTAGTTACAATTCAATGGCTTAGTAAGGTAGGTGAAGAGCAGGATCAAAGGTCGTGAGTATTAGACAAAGAGACCTGGGTGTAACACAGTAGGCCACAGAGAGCTAATAAAGAGAGAAGGTTTATAATCAAAGGAGATTTATCAGCAGAGGACCATAAGTCACATGGAGAGTTGGCAAGGGTTTGGATTTATCACAAATGCCCTTGAGAAAGCTGATTTTCCCATGAAGTAGTTTCACTTACTGTGAACAGGACTATACTAAGAACCCATCACAACAATTAAAAGCACTAATCTAGGACCTTTGTGGGTTCTCATTGTCCAGAGGTAATGCAGTGAATGATTACAGAAATGAATGTGAAAGAAAATGAGATTCGATATGGACTTGAAACCAAGTTTGACTTAATTTATGTTACTGTTTAGATTTTGAATGAAACTTTCTCTTATAAAGGTTTTTGCAAAACAGCTGCTACTGGACTCTAAACAACCTGATTAACCTTCAACAACTGCTGCTGTGGCAGAGATTGGTCATTGCTACCCACTGCCCATTCTTCTTTTATTGCTCAGCTTCCAGGGAAGGAAAGCACCTGCGAAAGTATTACATTTCCTAGCTTCCCTTGCAACTAGGTACAGGCATGTTAATTAGGCATAGCCAATGAGGTGGGGGACCTTAGGAAATTATTTCATCTGCCCTTCTGATTTTTATACCTTCTGGACATAGTAACAGCCATTTCAGAGCATGACTTAATCTTGAGAAAATCAGTCTCATTCCAGGATGGTAAAGCAAGAAAATGGAAGGAACTCTGATTCTAACCTAGAATACTTATCTCTGAGACTGCTTCACTTGAAAGAAAAAACTACTCTGTGCTTAATCTATTCACAGAAGCTCTTCAGCTTAAACCAATTACTGGCATGGGGAATAGGATTAACTCTACAAGAATAACTATTATTTAGACCTTGGGGCCGAGGAAGCTTACCTTCCCAGAGCACATGAGAAAAAAAAAAAAATCACTAGAACAAAATTGGGATTATTTTCAATAGGAAGAAAGTTGGAAGGAAGAGTAGATAGCAATTTGGTAGGCGCCAAGAGTGGTTTATCACAGTCTGTGACCAAAAAAAGGTACATTTTATCAGTCCAAATGTAATTTAAAATAGAAAAGCCAGTTCAGTGTATCAAGTAA